AACTTCCAAGAGAAGTGGTGCTGGCTCCTACCCTGGAGGTCTTTAAGAGGAGGCTAGATGTACACCTTGCTGGGGTCGTTTGACCCCAGTACTCTTTCCAGTATACCGCAGTGTCTGAGTTTTTTAATGAGAATGGGGTGAGAGAGAGTGTCGAAGACCTTTCTAAAGTCCAGAAAGACTATGTCCACCGCGACACCTGTGTCTACGGATTTTGTGACCTGGTCATAGAAGGCCACCAGGTTGGTCTGACAGGACCTGCCTCTAATGAACTCGTGTTGGTTGCCCCTAAACATAATCTCCCCTGCTTGCCCCTCGTGGACATGTGCCAGGATAGTTCTCTCAAAAAGCTTACCTAGGACTGAGGTAAGACTGATTGGCCTATAGTTACCTGGGTCCTCCTTCTTCCCTTTTTTGAAAATGGGAACCACACTGGCCCTTTTCCAGTCCTCTGGCACCTCACCAGAGCACCACGAGTGCTCGTAAAGCCGTGCCGGGGTCCCGCAATGACCTCGGCCAATTCCCTCAGTACTTGAGGGTGGAGATCGTCCGGACCAGCTGATTTGAATACCTCCAGTCCCTCCAGAAGTTCCCTAACTAGTTCCTCACTAACCCTTGGCCTAGGTGCGCCTCCCCTGGGATATAAGGGGGGCCCAGAGGTGGGGTGGCTGTTCCGGCCCCTGCTCAGGAAAATGGAGGCAAAGAAGTCGTTAAATGTATTAGCTTTGTCATCTGGTGTGACGAGCAAATTTCGACCCTACCAACTATGAAACTATGAAAAGAGGCAAGACACAGGTGTCAAGCCCAGACTTTTATGATTTACATCTCAAAGCACTTTATTTTAGGGCATTTATACATGTGCTCCGGGAGCCAGGGGGGTAGGGGGCTTCAATTATAGCAGCTCTGTGAGCCACTCTGTTTAAACCACCTGGAGCATCACGTGCATCAGTATCCCCATGTTCAAAAATGGCAGCAGTGGCTCTTGTCGAATGGGCTTTAGTTAAAGTGCCCCGCCATCATTTTTCAGCACAGGGATGCTGATATGTGTGATACTGGAGTCTGCTGGAGCACAGTAATTACCACGCTGCAGCAGACTCGAGTCATCGAGTCTGCTCTGACACTGTAACCGCAGCATGTCAAAGCAGCCTCATTGCACCTGTCTATCTGGTTGCTCGCAATAGTGCAATATAGAGTCGCACCTATAATGCTCGAGGAGATGCAGAAGGGAGGAGGATGGGACACGAACTGGCAATAGGTCATCTTGGATTTACTGACTTCTTCAATTTTCCCTTCAGTCTGTGTCTCATGTTTACATGGCTTGGTCTACTGCACATTCTCATTCATTCCTTTGTTTCACTGAGGCTTTGGGAGCTGGACTGAACTGGCTTTCCTGTGGTTTTGGAAAGTGTTAATTTGATGGGATTTATGGCCTTATGAACGTTACTGTTTTAGAAAGACGGCTTCCTTATTTCCTTGCTTCATCATTTTGGAATATTGCTGCCACTGTCCTTTTTTCATTTCATCTTGGTTTATGCTTTTCACTAACGAGGCTGCTTTGTTTTTACATCTTAACTAAGAAAATTAACACACATATATTTATTGTAGCAAAACTACATCTAATACATTCAACTACAACAGTCATTGCTATATAGCGAAAGCTATGCATACTGTGTTTGGATGATCTATTTTAAGGCCTCTTGTATAATGCCTCCTTTCAGGCCTTTTGCTCTGTTTGGTTTGATCTCACTGCTGGTTTAGCCGGATGCATTAATCGCTTTCTTTACCCTGCTGACCAGGCTGTCTTCAAAAGTTCACTCTGCGGTCACTCAGAACAGGCTTGGGTGCCTTTAGCTTTAGCCATACATCTGCAGCTTTGTGTAGGCCTCTCGAACAAGGCCAGAGTTGGCAACAGCACTATGTAATGCAGAGGTTTTGTGTGGGGAAAAAATGGTGTGAGTCCATGTAATTATGGAAGCTATCAGAATGCATATGCACATGACTTATGTATTAACATTGAACAGCTGACCTCAATTTTGGCATTTCCTAGCTTTTGAGTGTTTTGTAGACTTCGTATTCTTTTAATGTAGGTCTGTTTATTGTTTTTTCTGATTATAAAACATGAACAACTGTTATGTTTTGCAGATGGTTTCTTCAGTGCAACCTCAGAAAAATAAAGTCCACAAAGACCAGGAACCAGAAGGGGAAAGCCAGAATGAAAAGGTATTCTTTCCATTTGGAGTCATGTTATGAATATTACCACCCCCGCCCCCCCCCCCCCCCCCCCACCTATATTTTTTTCATCATTTTTTTTTAAAAATGGTTAAGTGAAAAA